TTTAATTTTTTTACATTGTCTTATATATAGTCAGTATTTTTTGATAGATTTTACAGTATCTTAATTTTGCTATTTACATCTATTATTTTGTTTATATAACTTCATATTCCTTCTCTCTGTTTTACATTTCATTCTATGCCAATCTCACTTCCTTTTAGCATGTTAAGACATCATATTTTAGCAACTACGTCACCCTATTTATTCTATGTCTAATACTTATGTTTTTCATCTCATATATTCCATTACATTTTGTTGTTAATTCGTTTTTCATTTCTGATGTTACCTTATTTCATTGTGTTTATTTCATTAGTCCCTAATTTTGTTGCCATTATTATTTATCTCATAGTTCTCTCTGTTACTGTTATTATTTTATTCTTAGTTCCTAACCGTTATATTATAAATCCTAAATTTGCTTCCGCTACTACCTATTCCTATTTTTGTTATCGTTATTTTATATTTCCTTTAAGTTTATTCTACCTACTTTATTTAGTTTATTCTTTAAGTTTATTCTACCTACTTATTTTACTTTAGGTTTATTCTACCTACTTTATTTTACTTTAAGTTTATTCTACCCATTTTATTTTACTTTAAGTTTATTCTACCTACTTCTTTTACTTTAAGTTTATTCTACCTATTTTATTTTACTTTTAGTTTATTCTACCCATTTTATTTTACTTTAAGCTTATTCTACCTATTTTATTTTTTTAGACTATACCTTTCATCTATATATTATTATTTTCTTTTTAATTTAATAGTTTCTCATACCCATTGTTATCTGATTTTTTCTGGGCCCTGATGTAGGCCTGCACTTAGTGCTGAAACGTCTGCAAAAAAATTAAAATAAATATTATTTTTAAAATAAATATCATGTCAGAAACTTAGTAAGATAGGCAAAATTCAAAACAATCCCGGCTGACATCGAGTTAAATATCGGAACCTGGGGACTCTAACCGCAGCTAACGTGTTGGAAGAGCATTTATTAACTGAATGTCACAGTTAGTGTCATATGGATAATGATTATCCTGTTGATAGCAATAAAGAAACTTAATTACTTATGAGAAATTACATTAATATTAGAATCCCCCGTTGCTCATTTTATTTTATAATAGAGAAAATCGGAGCTTTATAAGTTTAAAAAATGATGTGATTTCATGTCATGTTACCTAAAAGTACTCATGCTTTTTGAAAAATTACTACAGTAAATTGTTGCAAAAGCTTTTATTTTTTGTTTTTCCATGATCTGAGATGTACTATGAAAAACATAACTATCTAAATACACTTTGTATTTCTAAAAAGTTAAATTAATGATTTTTCAAATATGTTTTCATGTTAATTGATTATTAAACTGTGTCTTTACTAAGATCTCTGTTCGGTTAGGGGTCAAATATATAACTAACCGTTATAACTGATCCCTAGGTTCGAGTTAGAATAATTTGAGTACTCTATTTTGAAATAAACTTGGTTTGTTTTATTTCACTAGAACTTTGAACAGAGATTTTTAGAACTTTACACTTTTTGACTTTTTTATAACTACAATAATTATTCACATATGCCTATTTTAATATGTGAAACAATTAAATATTTATAACATAAATATAACTTTTGATTCCTTAACATCCTTCCACCTGAGGAGTTTTGAATTGTTTCATACAATACAAAAATAGTAAAAAAAAAATCGAAGGAACTCTCTTCAGTCTTCAAATCCTAGAGCGCCCTTCTTTTTTTTTTTCTCTTCTTTGAATGCTTCTTTTTCTTAGAAGTACATTTTTTTTAAGAACAGAATTTAGCCGCTCAAAAGTTCTCATTAAATGGTTTTAACAATAACAAATTATTATCATTTGAAGTAAATTTTTGTCTAGTTTTCATTGAAGCAATTGTTAATTACTTAAATTAAATATTTCTTTAGCTTCCTATTCAACAAAAAACATTTCTTGCTTAAAAACCACAAAACTTGGATTTCTTACTTTTTTGCTAAAAATTGGCCCATTGTTTATATGAACTTTTTTGTAATTCAAGATGTCTACTATCACTCCTATAAATATTTCCCTCTACTAACGGGACACCCTGTATACATTTTAGCCGATACCAATATTATACAAACCTGTATATATGTATATATATATATATATATATATATATATATATATATATATATATATTTTTTTTTTTTTTTTTTTTTTGGTTACAGATCATGTAGATCTTTTGCTGCCTTTACTAGCCTGCTCCATCTCTGCCTGTCTTGGGATATTTCTTTCCATTTATCTGCACGCAACTCTATTGCATCTTTGTTGATCTTATTTATCCATCGGGTTTTTGGCCTTCCACAGGTCTTTTGCCTTCTATTGAGGCATTCATTTTTACATAGAGACTTCCAGATGGATTGCTACATGTCAGAAAAGGGAGGAGCACCCACCCCTTTTCTGAATCCAGCTTGGTGTTCACCTATTATATTTTCTTAATATGGATGTATCCAGTTAAATAGGATGTTGGTCATTAACTTTTAGGCGACTGGTAGGAGTGTTGTGCGTTTGTAATTACTACACTTATACCTGGAGCCCTTCTTTAGGATAGGACAGATTATGCCCGTATTCCAAGCCTCAGGTGTCCCATGTTTTCTGGATTAGTTTTAGTAGCTTGGCTCTTAAGTCGCCTCCCCCACCTTTAAACAGTTCTGCTGGTGGTTGTCTATCCCTGGGGCCTTTCTTGTTTTTAGCCTTTCGATAGCTATTTCTACTTCTAGTTATTCGCTTGATATCCTACCCTTTCTTTCCTAATATCTGCGTAGAATTTGCGTATATCTTCAGCCTGCCAGTTAATCTCAATGGTTTGCTATCTTTCTTTGAGGAATTTCCTTTTTGCCGATCTTATAGTTTGGTTTTCCTTTTTCTTGGCAGCTGTGTACTTGTCCTGAGCAACTTGATTAGTTGTAGTTAGGCAGAAGACTTTCATTTTTCTTCTTTTCTCTACTGCCTTTTTGCATGCTTCTGTGAATCACATTTTGACTTTTCGTTTCTCCTGAATACTGATCACTTCCTTAGCTGTTTCTTTTAGTATTTTCTATATTTCCTCACAATGTTGGTCCATCATGAGGCTATCCGAATCCAAAGGTTCGAATTTATTTTTCAGCTTAAGTTGGAATTTGGTTTTTACTTCAGGATTTTTTAAATTACGGACTTCATACCTCCTTATTTCCACTCGATCCCCTGTTGTTTGAAATTTCTTCAAACTCTGACATAGTTTAATTCTAATTAGAGAATGATCCGAATCATAGTCTGCTCCACAATAGCTCCTTACATCTTGTATTGAGCTCTGATGTCTCTTGTCTACCAGCGCATGGTCAATTTGGTTGTTTGCTCCTTTGAGGCTAATCCAGGTGTACTTGTGAATATCCATGTGCAGGAACATTGTACTGCTAACGACTAGACCTTTAGCTGCTGCCAGACTGATACATCTCACTCCGTTGTCATTGTTATTTTTGTGAAGGCTTTGGCCTCCAATAATTGACCTGAATTGGGATTCTCGTCCTATCTTTAAATTGAAGTCACCTATGACTAATTTTATGTGATATTAAACCCATGACCTTTAACTTGTATTACACTAATCCTTTCGTTTATCAAGGTGAAGTTTATGATCGATTTCCTTGCCGCTGGAGTAACTAAATATCAGTCTTTAAAATATTGCTATCTGCTTAAATGAGGGAAAGGGAAGGACCAATAAAATAAATAAATAAAATTTAAAAAATGGTAAAACTATACCAATCTCGACAAGATAAATTTATCAGGCAAAAATATTGGTCTTTAGAGCATAGTTATCTACTTAAATTAGAGAACGGGGAAGACAAAAAATAATATAACAAAAAAGGTACTCTACGAATCTCGAAAAAATGAACTTATCAGGCCGATATATCGGTCTTTAGAATATTGGTATCTGCTCAAATTTGGAGGAGAGAAGGTAAAAAGAATAAAATAAAGGCCAGTATATCGACCGATACCTATAATTGGTTAAAAAGCTGGTATGGTCAATATGCCAATGTTAAAATCAGTATCGGTTGATCCCTAGTTTACAGTGAAATAATTTTTAACTACTTAAATTAAATAGTTGTTTGGTTATCACTTTCTATTTAACAAAAAAATGTGAGGAACTTAAAAAAAGACAAAACTTTAATTTCCTACTTTCCTGCTGAATTCAGGCTATTGTTAATATACATTTTTTTGTAGCTCATGAAGTCTGATATCATTGCTATAAATATTTTCCTTTGTTTCGGGACACCCTCTATAGTTCAAACAGCCCAATATTTTAGTAGGCCACCTTTTTTATCGATTTTCTGATCAAATTCTCTTTCAATTCAAGTGGAAAGTAAATGGGTAATTATGAGTTTTTAGTACCGAATTAAGTTAATTAATTTAATGAGAAAACACCCCATTTCTGAGAATTTTCGTATATTAAAAATTTGTAGGTAACGATAAGATGAAAACATTCACAAAGTTTTAGGTGGATGTTAATCATTTGATAAAAAGGGGCTATACCATGGACTTCAATGGCAGAGCTTAAATGTTGGTCACTGAACCATTTGTGATCATCTGCATGCCATAGGAATCCAGAAAGCAGAAAAATGGGTATCACCTCAGTTCAACAACAGACAAATGGAAAAGATCCGGAGATCTGTCGAGGTCAAAAACTTAGATTTATCATAAGCCATCTATCACCTACAGCTTAAAAAAAATGAGAACTACTTAATTATGCAAGGTAACATCTCTTTTTCATGATGGTTTTGCTGGGCTATTTGGCTATTGTAAGGTCATCTTATATGTTTTTCTGAATTGCTGCTAGTTCTTCTTTGGTAATAATAATATTAATTCGCTTTTCACCTCATTTAATTCAAGCCTTGAATTAGTTGTAAAGTGGTTTCTAATTTATATTTTATTGTGTTAAAATTTAATAAATATTATGGACTTGTCTTTTGAGTTTGATCATGCCTGTTTGTTTTTCTCTCTCTCTAGGAGGCCTTTGATGAAGGTTGGTCTCATGGAATTTTATCTGCATATTATCCTCTTCTCCTATCAGGATCTTCCCTAATTGTTTGCTTTTGGGCTGAAGTAAGTATTTATTGAGTATTAAATATAGTGAAATTTAAAAAAAAATTATTCTTAATTTTTGTATAATATAAAGAATACTATACTGGATGTGCTCAGAAATTCAGAAGAAGTAGTGAAGGCAAGAGGAGGAAACTAAACAATGATGTAATTAATTTCTTTTAGAATAATAATGGTTAGGTTTTCAATTTTTTTTTCTCTAATCTTTCTTACCCAATCACATTTTGATTATTAAAGGTAAAAAAGATTATAAAATTCCATAAATACTAAGTATTATCTACAAATGCCATGTCTTATATACAAATACAACTTTACAGAAATATTTTTAGATGAAAACATGGAAAAATCAAGTGGGTGGAATTTTTTGCCTGTCAATGTATCATGACCAAAAAAAGGGATAAAATAAAAAGATAATAAAATAATTTTTAATAAATATAATTTTCCACAAGAATTTTTATTTGTTGGGCTTACCAGCCTTTCATCTCCAAAGAGATAAATCTAGAAAACATAAAGTACTTACCCTTTAATGGCCATCATTAAATATTTACTCTACCATGCTAGCTCAGGTGAGAAGGGGTTAGGTTGGATATTTTTTTATAAAGCAGCAAAAAGGTTAACAGATCTATTTACAGAAAGAAATATTTACAGAATTAATACTATGTACAATAAAAAGAAATAAAATACAAGGAAAAAGAGAGAATTTAAACATAATTACTATATACAATTAAAGATAAAAAGGAAGATATTTAAGATAATAAAAATAACAAAAAAAGATACTTATTTTATATACAATATGGCATGCCACATCTAAACATCTAGAAAAGATAGTTAAGATACAAGTGATATAAGATGTAAGAGCACATGCACATGCTAAAATATGAATTAGTCATCTAGCCCAGGAAATAAAAGAGAGCAGAGTTTGTTTTGTTTCCAGTGCTTTCTTAATCTTGGTTACAGTATATATAGTTATAGTTATAAATTAATTAGTTTTTTTTTTTTTCGGTTGGCACTACAGACCAAGAAGATCTTTGGCCGCGAGATGTGGTCTCCTTACAGACGTGTGATACTTGCGGGAGACAAGATAGCCTGGAGGTAGTCACCCAACCTCACGTTGCTACGAACCATGGTTTCCATGGTGCAGCGGCAGGCCACCCGTAGCTCCATAGCCGATCCCTTTGGGGCCAATCTGGCAATGTCTTTCCCACCGACTCTCTCGGGTTCAAGGACAGTGACAAATCGGTCTAGATCCATGGATTATGACTGCTCGGAGTCAGCAGGTGCACGAAGACCTATATTTCTTTCCCCGAAACAGACTGTCCATGGACCGAACCTCAGGGGGGCTATAAACATCCTGGTAAACCACATCCCGATTCCCGATTTAAGTACACGGGGTAGGGTCATCAGTCGGTCGGTATGAGTTGCCTCCAGTAGGCTGACGGGCCTCACATACCCGGGGGGGAGAGACTCGGGCAGCATGGTTTTCCCTGGTGGACGGTCACCCAAATCGGGCGGTCACCCATCCAAGTACTAACCACGCTCGAGGTTGCCTAACTTGCTTACCTATTGCAAGCGCCTTAGCCTGTACGGCTACCCCAGCCAAATTAATTAGTTATCAACTATATATTTTTAACATTCGTGTCCCTTGACATATTGGTCAGAGAAAACTTTCATTAAACAGGGAATATTCAGGGGATTTTACTCTGACGATTTGGTAGCCATCCTGTTACATCACTATGTAATTTAGTTGTTTTTGTTATTTTGTGCCCGACAAATGACACTTCTATTATTCATTATTATTATTCTTAAGGGTCTAAATGTCTCAGAATAAAATTTACTTTTCTTCCTTCTTCTTTATCTTACAATATCTCTTTATGTAATAAACTATCACCAATTTTCTTAATTAACGAATTGTATAATTTCCATATTAAGTATTATATCATTAGTAGACTTTTTAAACATTAAAAGGCTTCGCTTTAGTTCAAGTTTTTAATTGTGGTGGTTGTATATCTCATTGACATCCTTCATACAAGCTGGTACATTATAGTCATTTATCTTTTTATTTGCATCATAATTTCTTCTTCCTGTGCGAAAACAATCTTTTTAAAAATAGTAGTGATCTTAAATCGCCATGTTAGTTTCACTGCACCTAACATGAATAATATAAATAGAGGAAAATGAATACCTAAATCTTCACTTACACTTCACTACACTTATTACCAGATATCTCACGTTTGCTCTTCTTTAATCAGAACTCACAAAAGAACCCAAGATAAATTCCCTCATAACATATTGATAAGGGTTTAGAGGACTGTAAGTGAGGTCTTTTTATTAATGATATGAGAGTGCATCTTATGTCATCAGATAGCCAAGTTTTGTTTTGGAGACATCCAATTAAATGAAATGCTCAATGCAGTAGGACCCTACATATTGCATTCTGAGGAGGATCAAACATGTTCTGGGGTGTTATTTCTCCTTACAATATACTGCAGAAATTAGTTAATAATCTCTTTGAGAACATAAGAAGGCAATTAATTGTGTGTTCTAATGTTTGCCAAAGGCAGTGTAGCATGTGCTACCAAGTTTATTTGAATAAAAATTGTAGCTAGATTATAATTGGAAAAATTTCAACCACACAGCCTTATATTGCCAAAATGCAGGTAAAGAATAAATAACCTGTCAACATTTCGCCAATTCAGGCATCATCAGGACAGAAAAGAAAAGAAAATCAATATCACATCACTCTCAGGGTAACTTTTTTATTTTTTTATTTATGGTAACAGAGCTGTATTACCTTACCTTCCTTTGAGTTTGGGATTGGATGCCATGGAGTGATGTGGTCTTGGATCTGCTTTTCTTTTCAGTCCTGATAATTCCTGAATTGGCAAAACCGTGACCATGACCGTTGTTATTATTTTTTACCTGCATTTTGGAGTCAAAGGCTTTGCAGTTGGAATTTTTCCAATCTAACCTAACATTGAATTTCGGTCTCTTGTTAAGTTTTTCATAGATTTATATTAAAAATTGTAGCATTTATTGTTTGTAATTTTTAAATTATTTATTAAAATTGTAAATATAATAGATAATATGTTCCATGAATAAATGCATTTTTACAAATCCTGATTCACACTATATTATTTTTACTAAAGTACTAAAATTTATCCAGAGTTTAAGGTAATGCGTTAATTGTCTAACAGTGTATTTTTATAATTAAATATAAATTAGCAAAATAATGAAAAATATGAAATCTTAATAAATTTACTATTTCAAAAGTCTCATTCTGGTGACTAATTAATAATGAGTTGTCTTGCTTGTTGCTTATCACTGATATGGTATGTGATGTTAAAAGTATAATTTTTTTTTTTTTTAGCTATTTCATCTCACAGACCTTCGTTGGAAACAAAGACAGTTTTTAAGTAAATCCTTCCTTGGTTTTGTTACATTCAACGTAATTTCGTATTCTCTACTATTTGCTGAACTTACAGCAGTGAACTTCCTCGGCACTGAACCAGAACTAAAGGTATATACAAAAAATTTATATTAAAATTCATTTTTACTTTTATTAACCTATTTATGAAATATATAGTAAGGGACAGTATTGTCATCATGAAAATTTTCAAATCTGTTTTCAACGGAAAAATATGTTTTGAGGTCTTCTGAGTCCAAATAAATAACCAAGTACCACAAAATGGTCTCTGTGTGTCTGTATGTATGTGACCAGTCTAGCTCAAAAACAATCCTATGAAAGTGAAATTGCATATTTAAAGTTTGTATATATCTCAGATGTTACAGCAATGTTTTTGTCAATATCGGCTAATCGGAAGTGGCACTTTATATAATTGATGTTACAAATTTTTATGGTTTTCTCGAAAACGGCTCTAACGATTTTGATCAAACTCAGTATATCAGTATATTATTAAACACTTTTTAATATAATTTAGGTTTTATTCTCGTTCTCTAACAGGGCTTAAATTGCTAATTTTCAATATTAGCTTCCTCTCTAAAGTACCTTTAATTTTTTTTATTTGAAATAATTAACCATTTTATATTAATCTTTGATATAAAAAATAGTTAAATATAAAAAATGAAAGAATTTGATAATTAACTAAAGGAAATTATGTCAATGTATTTCGACTTATTTCAATTTTTCAGATTTCTTCTATATAAAGGTCTATTTATATGTTTTTGGAACCGTTGTTTTTGAAAATGATCTCGATTTTAAGATTAGGCCACTGTGTTTGGACTATTTCAATCTTCGTTTTAAGATTATGCCACTATGTTTAGACTTATTTAAGTTTTTTGAATTTTTTTTATATAAGGGTCTATATCAAAGGCAATTTGATACTTTAAACAGTAGAAAAAGTATACCATTTGTGGATTTTCTGTGAATCATAAAATTAAAAAGATTTTTGAGGTCTTTAGTATCAAAATCTGCTTCAATTAATACCAAGTTAGTACAATTAATTTCTAGAATGTAAGAAATTACAGTTATTCATGTATTATTATTCATATGTTTATGAATGTTTGCATTTTTTGTGTAGTGTTGCATTTAGTAGATTTTGATTATTTATGCCTCCCTTATGTCAATTTTTGTGTATATTAGAATTTAAAAAATATATTATTTTATTTAAAACAAAATTTCTGATATTAATCAAAGAAAAAGATTTTATAAAATATTTATTATTTACTATAGTTGTTTAAAATAACTTCACGAATGTTAAATAAAATAATTTATCATTTAAAGATATTTTAAACATGCATATCATTGTAATAATTTTTTATTTAGGTTGTTTAAAATAACTTCACAAATGTTTAATAAAATAATTTATCATTAAAAGATATTTTAAACATGTATATCATTGTAATAATTTTTTATTTAGAAATTTATAATCAGTTGATTCACATGTTTGAATCTGAAGATATCATATTTGCTTTTAAAACCGCTCTTGTTTCAAAGAGTCTATTACTTACTTTATTACTTTCTGGTAGATCTGTCATGGTTGCTTAATTGAAGAATTAAGAAGATGCATAATTTAGTTAAAGAAAAAAGTTGTTCTACCGGTGCTGAGGATGGGAGTGGCGTGTAGTATGCTGTAAAACTTTTTTTTATAGCTGGGTATTTATTTAATACAGTTAGATTATCGCGTATATCAGAAAAGAAGTAAATGATCTCAAGTTCTATTAAATTTGACAATTCCACATTCGCATTTACTTGTCACCTTGACAATGGAGATAATTTAAAAAAAACAACAGCTCTGAAAACATACAAATAGACCCTTTTATCGAAGAAATCAAAAAACTCAAATTATTCAAAACACAGTGGCATAATTTTCAAATGGAATATCATTTTCAAAAACTGTGGCTCCCAAAACATGTGGACACATGGGTCAATAGACCCTTATATTGAAGAAATCCAAAATATTAAAATAAGCCACAACACAATGGTGTAATCTTAAATTGGAGATCATTTTCAAAAATTTTAGCTTCGAAAATATATAAATAGACTGTTATATCGAAGCAAAATAAATTTACCATTAAATTATTTGAATAACAAATAAAAAGATAATATATAACTTGAATTTATTTATTATCTAGATAAAAGATAAACAGAAATAATCATTATTCGTAGTTGAAAATACGAATAAATCGTTCGTTATCTATTATCTAAGATAAATTTTGCCTGACGCTGCTTTGAAGCAACTTAGGATTCTGTAATTAGAGGGAAACTTAACACTGCAATGAATGAAATGAATATCCCTAGGAAACATATTGGACTAACTAGGTGTACCATGGAAGATAATATTTGCCACTTTCGGATGAGCGAAAAAAGTAACTGCTCGTTTGATGTGAACATAGGGTTAAGACAGACATGGTGACACCCTGGCACCACTACTATTTAATGTAGTACTACACATAATTGTTAGCAGGACAGGACTGAATCATGACATTATACATATGCATATGCAATTATTTATTTATTAATCGAATTTTTTTTTGCAAATAGTAATTTTTTTTTCTGAAGTAAAATATGTTTTAAATTCATCTTTTAATTAAAAATATAAACACTTAATAAATTAAAATTATCTTATTCTAATTAGATGCAAATGTTTTTTATAACCAACAAATAAATTAATAAATCAAATTGTTAAAACTAAATATACAAATAAAAAATTTAGAATGTTGCCTTATTGAAACTCATGAGAGTTATTTTGCCATAATTAGAAAAGTTGCCTAAACATTTGGCCCCACAGACACAATTAAATAGTATTTTTTTGCCATATTTGAGATATGCCATATTGACTGAACAACTTTCTTGAGCAAAACTGTCTCCTCAATCCTCTACAATCCGGTTTGCATTCCCAATACTCCACCCAATCTGCCTTATTAAAGAGTACCCAAGACCTCCAATCATCCATAGACAAACAGAAAATCTCCATCCTAGTCCTTTTCGACTTTTCAAAAGCCTTCGACTCCGTCAATCATAATATCCTCATTATCAAACTCCAAAGCCTACCTATATCGAATAGCATTCTGAAGTGGTTCTTTTCCTTTTTATCCCATTGCTCCCAGACAGTAGTTATACCTGACAAATCTCCTTCCTCCTCCCTTCAATTAACATAAGGTGTTCCTCAGGGATCCTCACTCTCTCCAACTCGGTTCTCCATTTATATTAGCGACCTTCCCGACTCCATTAGTCATTCTCACTATCACTTATATACAGACGATCTACAAATTTACTTATCGTTCCAACCATTTCTTTCCGACAGTCATAAACCTTGGAGTGATCTTTGATCAGAACCTCTCTTGGAACAACCGCATTTCCCAGATTATCGGTAAATCCATAACTATCCTTAAACAATTCCTTCGATTCCGTGATTCCATTCCAAAAAAAAACAGACAGCTCCTTGTAATATCCCTTGTCTTCCCCCACTTTGACTACGGTTGCCTAGTGTATGGAGGGCTTTCCACAGAACTGTCCACAAGACTGAAGAAAATTATGAATTGCTTCATAAGATTCATATTTGGGATTCCCAAGCGTTCTCATATTTCTTGTTGATACACTGAGTTGAAGTGGCTAAATCCTACTTCCTGACGGCAATTCCTATTATGTGTTTTCCTTTTTCAAGTTCTCGGAAGCAAAAACCCTCCCTACATATTAGAACTCCTTACTTTACGCTCCTCTATCCACTCTCTCAATACCAGATCTCAACCTATAGATTTATATATCCTCTCCCATAAAACCACTTCCTTCAGTAAATCCTTCGTCATTTGTGCTACCTCCTTATGAAACTCCTTACCATCTCCATTCGTCAAACCACATCCATAAACTCCTTCAAACAACTCCTATTCCACCACCTACTACAAATTCAAACTTCCGCAAGCTTGTAAAAATTTCTGGGTTATATAATTACGTTGGCCACCAGCAGTTAATTGATAGAAGCCATTTTATTTTTATTTATTAATTTTTTTATATTTCAGTATTTTATTGTATATAACTGTGTTTATCGTTATTATGTAATGTAGATATTTTCCTTGGTACTTTAATTTATTTTATATATATATATATATATTATATATATATATATTATATATATATATATATATATATATATATATATGTATTTTTCTTAGTATCTTTGTGTGTGTGTGTATATATATATATATATACATGCTTACAATTTCCTAGGTAATTTTTGTATATATTTGTATAATACTTACATGCCAGACTAAGGTACATATTTTGTAAATTCTACTATTATTCTAAGGGGACTTTAGTCTCAGAATAAAATTATTTTTCATTTCATTTCATTATTAGCGATGTTTTGACATATGTAAAAGAGGAAAATTGCCTGGTAGGTTATGAGAGGCTATATAACGGTCATCTGTTTCCGGGCTGATATTCGTATTAAGCCTATTAGTTTTTTTTTTTAATTTAACTTAGGTCGTTTATTACTTTGTTGCATATTTGGGGGCGCCAGAGTAATAGGGATTATTATTTTTTTGTGTGTAAAATTATATTTCCGGTCTAGTATTCGTATTTTGCCTGATGACACGTTTTTCAAAAATATACTTTAACCAATAGATCTAATGCTTTCATTACTATTAGGGGAAGTCAAGCAAGCAATTTCCAGGAATATTGAGAAAAGAACAAATAGTGACTTGCTAGAATTCGGTGACTTTGTTAATACTTACCTTAATCCTTGCCTGCTTTGCTGAACTTTGAAATTGTTTTGAATAAAAGACATGCATTGCTGGACTTTGAAATTGTTTTGAATAAAGGATCTGCTCTGCTGAACATTAAAATTTAAATTTTTATATCTTTAATTCATATGTCAGGTTGCCAGGCAACGGCGGTGCAGTGCACACGCTTTAGCCCATTCGGCTACCCCGCCCACAATTACTAAACCCAAGACGCTTCATGGGTTGTAGTGGTACAGGTTTTTTTTTTTTTAATAAGTACTTAATGCTGTTTCCTCCCCCCCCCCCCTAACTTTACTGGACTATATTGAGCTCCCATCT